AATATACACCCCTACTCAGTAATAAAATCTGTAAATTGAAGAATGCATATAAAGTCATCACAGGCATAAATTATGTGACCAAATGCCATTATGTTCACATTAGATTTAAAGAACAGAAGCACTCAGATTTATTCATCAAGGGATAAGTGCCACTGAGTTTATATACTGTGACTACTTTGAAGTATAGATAATTCATGGCTATTTGCAAGTTGCTGTTATATTTTCTTTATGGTTACTAAGAACATGTTGATGATAATTAAAATGCACAACAACAAAGAAGAAACATCATAATAAAAAAATACACAAAGTCACAACATATTTACCCCTATAAAAAATGAAAACAAAAGTGAAAGAAATCAAGAGACTTGAAAGAAGATAGAATGGTGATATGGATCAAAACCAAAATAATTCATAAGTGATTTTTTTGAGGGACAAAGAAAGAAAATGTGAAAAATATATTTGAAAGCAAGTTATATACAGAATTGTCTTTCCATATATACATATATATAAATATATATATACACACACATATATATAAATATATGTGTATATATATACTTATTTTTCTAATATTTTAACACAATTCCAATTATTAGTTCATCATATCAAATATGGAAAACTTCATCACTATTTAAAAAATAAGTGCCAAATGATCCAATATATTTCAGATGAGAACATAAAAAATGGCAAAATATATTTGATATATTACTATGTTAGATAGTTCATAGTTTCTATTGAAAAGTTCTTTGTGCTAATGTTGATAAATATATCAATACATCATTTTTAAGTGTTTTGTTTTATATTGAAATATTGATGGATTTATGAAAATTATATATGATTGTACTATAAGAATATAGTTAAGACTATAGAGTGCACAAGGAACTAAATTATAAAGAAATAATTCCTAAAGTATTAACATATTTGTGGACTACTGGAATTTCATTCAATTATTAGTGCCTAAAGAGAGCAAAAGAAAATATATAGAGAGAGCCAGAGTTCAATGGGCTAAGGGAAATATACATATACCTCTCACATTCTTAATGTATACATTTATATGACTATAGTAGAAAAATAGAAGAAAGATAAATGGTTAAGGTTAGTTTCTAGGTACTTCAAAGGTTATTGCTATATAATCTCACCAAACAAACAAACAAAAATTTTACTAGAGATAGAATTTCAATCATTTAAAGAACATAATTTGTTATATTCAAACAAAAAGATATAAAAACTTATATAAGAAATATTCTCTTTTTGTCCATATATAATGATTCTCTTTCTGTCCATATATAACTAGATCATGAAGTTTGAAGTATATAGTATTTATAGAATAATTCTACACCATATAAATATCAACTGTATTGAATATAAAATATGGTAAGTGAAGATGAAGGGTGATCATTGAAAAGAACTACTTTGTGGTTCCAACTAATGATAGTACTATGCCAATTCTATCCTATTTCAATTATTCATCTTTAAATGAAAATTTAGATAGTCTTAAGAAAAAGAGCACAATACCTATTGCAGTATTACTTTGGTAATATATAAATATAAACCTATCCATTAATCTAATTAAATGTTCTTCTATGCAAATTGCATGCATGAGGCACATGAATCGTGATTAACTGATTGCATTAAACATAGAACAAATTTGGAAGGTCTCTTGGTCAATGTATGTGAAGGAATGATATGAATACTGGAAAAGATCAAAAAATCATTCTAAGGTAGAGACCACAATCTGAAGCTGATAAGCAAGCAGTGATAAATACTGTATTATAGTTATTATTTATGGAATCAATTATATCATCACTTTTACTATGGTGATTCCATCTTAAAGTGAAACTTTTAATGGTGCCTACCTACTATTAACCCTTTAGGATCCAGTTTTAAGTCAGGTTTTTGCCAGTAACTTGACACATCATTTCAATTAATCATCTTAATATTCTTGCCAGATTGGCATTATTATACTTGTTTTACAGATGACAGACAGAAGCTGCCCAAGGTCACCCAGGTTCTCCATAGCTCAATTTCCTCTCATGTTCTACAGCAGTGGGCTCAAATTTCATAGAAATAGTTAAATTTTATCTAGGGCCTACCAAATACCAGATTCTCTTCTTTATTATTACTCATCACTATGAAGTTGTTCTTTTTTGATCTGTGCAGTGGTTGAGAAAACTAAAAATAAGAAAGGTCTAAAGTCTAAAGTTTTTATGTTTCAAATCCTTCTATCAGTCAATTTTTGTCTTGCTTCATTCTAAATTTATTTTACATATCCTCTCTTTCTGCTTAGTTTAGCTGCTTGAAATAGCCCACATTTCTTCTATTATTGGTTATTTTGATTGTGGTTCCTCCACCAAGAGAGATGGCATTAATTTCTGCCCTGTTAAGACTGGGGTTGGCTAATAGAAGACTAAGAAACATGACATAAACAGAGTCTGGAAAAATTACCTAATCTTCAGGACTTGTCTATTAATTGCTGGGAACACTGTCACAATGAGAGTGCATGTGTGCTATCCTGCTGGATGATTAGTCACGTGGTCATTATACCAGATGATATCAAGCTGACATCACATATGTGAGCGACCCCTCTCCCTTGCACAATTAACCATCCTAGTAACTACTGAACATCCATCTTCAGGCATGTTGGCATATAACTGACTCAAACAACTCTGAGAACTATAATAAATGTTTCTTATTTTAAGCCACTAACTTTTGCAGTGAATTGTTACATCATGATGTTACACCTTCGTTCCCAAATCATATTGGGATCCAATCTAAAGAAATCAAATATATTAAAGTTACCAACTTACAAAAATGGCCTTCCAATTTTGGTTAGAAACATTTTACTTAAGAATTAAAATGTCTAAAATAATGCATCAATTTAAAAGTCATCTAAACGTCATGATGAGAGAATATGTCATAAACATTCAAGCTGTTATTTACTGTAGAAAGCTTTCTTCCTGCCCCTTCCCTGCTGTTGTTCAGTGAAATACCTTGTCTCTACAAAATACTTCTCATATCTTTCTATTACCGCCTATACAACTCCTAATTCCCCAGTTATTTTTTACCTGGTATACTGAAACAGCCTCCCTGTGACAATTTTATCATCATCTACACTACATTAGATATATTTCTCATACCAAGAACTGATATTATGATGTAATCTGTATTGGCTTAAAGAAAACAAAGAAATTTAAAATATTTCATGATTCTTTTCCAGGATAAAATACAAACTCATTGGCATGTGAAAAAGAAATCCTCATGAGCTTTTAAATCCTCCAGTCTTCCTCTACAACATTTTCATTTTACTGCACATCCAGCACATTTCCTTAAAAATATCACACATTTTCAAATACCCATGCTCGTTCATTTTGCTTTCTTTGTGAGATTCCCTTATCATTTCTGTTCCCCTTTCATCTTAAAAAAATGAGGCTGTATACTTCAGCATTTAGGTTGTCACCTTCACTTTGAGTCACTTTCCAAGCACAGAAAAGTGTCTGAAGGAGAAATAGTAAAGATGACATGATCATAAAGGACCTTACAGATGAGAAAGGTAAATATGAACACTGAAAAATAAAATACAGTGTCTTGATGTAATGACTAAGGTGAGTAAAAGGGATATTTGGAGAAGGGAGGCATGCATTCGGCTTTCCCAAGGAAAAGCTTAACAAAGAAACTGATGATAAAGCAGAGCCTGGAAATACTGATAGAAACTACTAAGTAGAAAGAAAAGAGACTCCTGGCAGAGGAAACAGCATGCATAGAAAATATACTAATAAAAATCAGATCTGGGACTCCCTGGTGGTGCAAGGGGTTAAGAGGCAACATATGAAGCTATCTGCAACCTCTGCAGCATGAGTTCGATCCCCAGCCTGCCAGGGAGCAACCCATATGATGCAGCAGACCTCTCCTGACTAGCCCACTGCTCCCCTCAGCAGTGTACTTTGGTCAGTCTGCCTGTTCTGTTCCCTATTCTGTCTCTGGTGAATCCTCTCACCCCCTGTACCTCTGGTCTGTACCCCTACCTCTTGTATGCATAAATAAATAAATCTTAAAAAAAAATAAAAATCAGATCTAATGACTTACTGTATCAAGTAATTAATACCTTCGTAGATTTAAGATAATATACCATGTTATTCAAAACTGAAAAACTGACCTTGGGATACAGACATATTTTATTTTATAAATACTGACATTTAATAATATAAAATTATAATACATGTCTATATAACATCAGTGTTATGCATTATAAAACATCAAAAATCATGGCTAAACATTTCTCAAAAGTAGAAATTCTTTATATAGATAATAAATTTTATCCTTTAACTTTTATTTTGTATGACTAATTTTTTATGTCTTTAAACAGATGGCATCAATTTAAAAATACATAATTTTGATTGACACATTTTAAAAATTAAATGATCATATTAATACTAAAATTAATTATAAAAATAAAAAATATGACTGAGGCTACCAGAGGGGGATGTGGTGGGTTGGAAGCAAAGGAGGAAGGTGTGGGAGGGTCCAATGGAGGATTACTGGGGCTTTGGTGGTGGGTGTGGTGAAATAATATGCAATTGTAGAGGTCAAAACCTATACCCCTAAAATATACAATGATATAAATCAATATTACCTCAATAAATACAAGGTTAAAATATATAAAATATCACTTTTCAAGGAAAATAATCTTTCATTATGACTTAGATTAAGATATTAGTGTAAAACAAGTAAGATAGTAGAAGAAAATCCCAATTAAGAGTAATTGAATCTCTGTGGAGCTCTATTTCTTATTTTAGTTAACAAATATTTCTCAGAACAATATTTCACAGTTTCATTATAAATAAGATTTGCTCTTTCTATTACCAGATGCTTCACAACCATTCCCCCCTGCTAGTTAAACAGGTACTGTGTTGCAAAATACAGATTTACAACCATCTTTAATTTAATCAATCACTTTCATCATTGAAAGAATGTTTCTTTTTCTTTAAATAAAGAAAACTCACCTCTAACAGGGGGTCTTTCTAGCTCAGAGTCAAGATGAATTGGTGGAGAGATGTATGATACTTGTCCATGATGTGCTTGCCCTGTGGACCAAAAATAAACATTAAGAAGACATCATAGTTATTTATGTCTTTTTACATTTTTTTAAAGATTTATTTATTTATACAAGCACTGGGTACAGTCAGAAGCGCGGGAGGGTGAGAGAATTCACCAGAGCCAGAGCAGGGAGCAGAGCAGGCAGAAAGACCGAAGTACACTGCTGAGGGGAGCAGCGGGCGGCAGGAGAGGTCTGTGCACCATGTGGGACCCTCCTCTAGTGGCCGGGGAGCAGCCGGGGATCGAACTGGTGCTGCAGAGGCTGCGGGCAGTTTTGCAACCCAGCGCTCAACAGCTGCGCCACTGGGGAGGCCCTCTTTTTACATTTTTGCTTTTATAATGCCACAGTATCATTCTCCATAATACACTAATAGCCAACATAGAGTGTGGACTGACCTTTTCAAATGTAAAGACATTATATCATCTACATATAAACTGATTAAATCAGTATTTCTTAAACAATCTAGGCTTTTTTTTGTTGTTGTTAAACTTAGTGTAGTGATACTTTAAAAAATATAACACAAATTAGTTAGAAGAATGAAATGAAAAAACAAAATACAAATTCCATTTTTATTGTTAGATTAAACAGACAGTAAGTACTATAATATGCTATGTTTCTAAATACTTTCAGTTTCTACACTTATTTCACTGTAGATCAGTAACATATATCCATATCCAAATATATGATATGCTGCTCCTACTTTAGCCTTTACTTTTCCAAGATAAAAGATGTATATCTGCTTATTTTTCCTCAATTTTATTTCCATTTTTCAATGTACATATACACTTTGCATAACCTTTATTTTATAATCTGATTAATTCATATTTTATCTTTATGATTTATTTCCATTATTTTAATAGAAAACTACTTCTATGTGCTTACTATATCTGAAAGGGAAACAATAACTAACCATAATATAAAAAGCAGATAGTTTGGAGCCTCCCTGGTGGCCTATGGGTTAAGTCTCAGGGCTATCACTGTGATGGCCTGAGTTCAATCCCTAACCAGGGAGCTAACCCACAGGGAGCAGACTTTTCCTGTCTCACATGCTGCTCCCATTAGCAGTGTGTTTCAGTAAATCCACCTGGTCTGCTCCCCACTCTGTCTCTAATAAATCCTCTCACAATCCCCAACCCAACATCTCTGTCATATACCCTAGTCCCTCTAAACAAAAATGAATAAAATCTTTAAAAAAGAAAAAGCAGATAGATGAATTAACTCTATTTCTTGAAAAGCACACTATCAGCTCACATACATAGTTTTAATAAACTTTCTACTTTATGAGTTAAAGTATTAAAGTTGATTTGAAGGCCAAGAGGCAGATTGAAAAGCTTGCTAACAAATCCAAAAGACTTTTTCCATTATTCAAAATAGCTATAGTTTGTGTACTGATAACTTGGTAAACAATTAGGATTTTGAGGCAAGAAAGCATAATTACAGTCAGTTTAATTTCTAAAACCACTTTATATAAAAAAGGTTTGGGTAGAAGTGGAGGGCCTACTACTTTCTTTCTACAATGGGGATATGCAGTTATATTTTACACACTTACTATAGCAATTTACAGGGGTGTTAATCTCTTTTCCTAAACAAGGAGAGTTAATGATACATAGATTATGGTAACAGTTAGAGTAACCTTCCATTTTCAAGTAATATTCGACTTGTAATAAACTCTGTTGATTCCTCTTATGAGGCACATTTCAAATAATTAATATGGCTCCCTGTTGATAGAAGCTGCTGTTGCTCCCAGCATTTTTTTAGCTTACAGCAGACACAGTGGAGAGGCTATAATATACACAGCCCCTCATAATGGTAACTAAGAATATTGTGCATTCACTGGCCATGTTTCAGTGGAATACTAAAAGCACTATTATAAAAGGAATAAGACAGTAATTGTGCACTGTTAGCAAACCATGTTTAATATAGCTTATTAAAAACTTCAGATTATCTTAATTATAAAAACACCTTCTGTTTACATATGTTGCATACTTGGCTGCAAAAATATTTTTATTTTTAAGCTTCTGTGTCATTACAAATGAACTGGTTTGAAACTTCATTGATCATGTGAAAGAAAATAAGAACCATTCACTCTGTTAGTTCAAAATAACCTCAGCATACAAAATAATATTGATTTCATGTCTAATAAAGGAACATGACTTTTGCCACATACAATATAACCATAAAGCACTCATACATACATCATCTTCTTTTACCAATATGAGGATTTAAAGGTAGAACAATTCTAATATATCCTTGTTTTTAAACCAAAGAAATAGGCACAGGAGATTAAGTAACTTGCTCAAGAACATACAGTGAGTAAATAACAAGAATAGGAGCATTTTATTTCTAAATCTGAAGTGCTTTCATCAAAATCATAATAATTTTTCTCGAAGTTTTTGGTATACTAAATATGGAAAAATGAGTGCAGATATTAGTGATTAAATGCCACATAACTCCTTTGGAACTGTCTCCCTTCAGGTTTCTGAAGTAAACAGTCTGGCTAAATGTCATATTTTTCTGTTTCAGGGAAAGACGATCAGCTTTAATAGTGCTTAACATGGATACTTCAGGCCGTATAAAAAGTGTGCTCATCACCAAGGGAATGGAGATTTGACAAGGAAAGGAGAACAGGGGTTAGTAAATTGGGTAAAAGGGGTCAATTGTATGATGAAGAGTGTAAAGTAGACTTCTAATGGAGTTCATAATGTATATACAGACATTGATTTATAATGCTATATGCTTGAAACCTATATGAAAGTTACAAACCAATGTTATTTTAATAAAAAAATTAAAACATGAATCCTTAAGTGAAAACAATAAAAGTCAGTGAAACAAGGCAGGGATTATTGATAGCTAATTCCTAGATTTGCCATAATGATTTTCATTTTCTCTCTAAGGAGAAATTCAGCAAAGTGCAGGATGAGGGGTGGCAGGGCAAGCCGCAGGGGTAGGAACTGAGAAATGCAGTAACACATATCAATCTAGTAATTGAGACTTCTGCTCTACAAAATAAAAGAACTAGAAATTATGGAAGCTGATTTTACTGTATTAAATTGTTAAAATGATTTCTACTTCAATCTAGATCGCTAGCACTCACACATTAATCTTCATAAAAGTATATAAAAGGTAATAAAACCATTCTAATCAATGGTTGAGGAAGGCAATGATTCTGAGGGAGGTAACCACTCTTTATAAGGAGAGCCTACTAGAATATGAGGAGAGGGCTGCACATTGCTTGATTAAAACAAAAACAGTGACTTTCAATGTTCCACCCTCCTCACTAAGAATTGTTGCCAATTAATAAACTACAGTTAAAAGAACTATGAATTTCCATAAATTTTTAAAAATAATTTATGGTAAATAATGTTTAACAAAAAATGCTATCTGCTCAAAGTGCATATGGGGGAAAAAGCATGGCAAACTTATATTATTTTTAAAGATTTGACTAGAATAAGATCTGGAATATCCCTTGTCTCTCATTCATCACATTCTCCACCATGCTCTACTGTCTTTGATTAGACTTGCCTGATTCTCATAATAGAAGTGTCATATATCCATATCCAAATATATGATATGCTGCTCCTACTTCAGCCTTTACTTTTCCAAGATAAAAGTTGTATATCTGCTTATTTTTCCTCAATTTTATTTCCATTTTACCTAAATTTTAAAGCAAAAAATCATATTGGAATCCTGATTATACTATCTTAATTTTACAAATTTAATTTGGAGGACAAATATTTAATAAGATTTGCCTTCATTATTTTAATAAATCTCCATGCTTGACTTGTCTATTGATAAATATGAATAAATTGATTTTTGACGTTTTCTGTATTTTGGCCATAAGAATATTACATTGATCATTGCTTTTTAATAAATTTTTATTCAAGAACCATATACTTAGAAAACAAATATTATCTTGGGAAAAATTTCACCTTAACGTGTGCATCCATCACTTTCCCTCCACCAAAGTTCCTGTGCCAACTACCTGTCATGTTACCCCCTCTATCCCTTCCTCCCTCTATTCCTAATCACTGTTTTATTGTAATTATTCTATTTCCCCCATTTTGAATGATTTTTAAAAACTTTTCTTGATAGCCTTCACCAAACTTTTTGATGGTTATTACTACTAGAAGTATTAGTTATTGATTTTGACCTTCCTGGCTCCTTAGAGTCAGATAGACTGGTAAAATTCAGTAACTTTCTGTGATTTTTTTTTTTTTTTGGTGAAATAGATCCCCAAGTTAAGCTTAATCGATATACACTGGTATTTAATTCTCCATGCTGCAGAATTTAACTTATAAATAACAAAGTTTGTCTTTGTAGTTCATGCAATTTAGGGGACATGGTTTCTGGTGCTGTTACTCACCTGTATGCTTGCCTTAATTATCTACAAAGTAATTATTAAAGGAAAAAGCAACCTTTGATGATAGGGCTTATAAAAGATTTTAAGAGAGGAAAAAAAAGTTTCATGGTTTATTTCTAAGAAGTCTAGAAGAAAAATCGACATAAGAAAATGGGTAGTTTATAGATTAGATTTCATTTATTTTCAGTCTAAGTAAAATAATATATTTCCATGGAGCTGTCATATGTATGTGAATCTTTGTTATTGATTTGTAATTTACATCATTCCATTCACCCATTTAAAGTATACAATAAAATGTTTTTTAATTTATGTACAGATTTGTTTAACTAACACCCTGATCAATTTATCTTCACAAAAAGAAAACTCAAATTCATGAATAGTCCCTCCTAAATTTCCTGTGATCCTATCCTAGCATTAGGTATCCCTCACCTACTACATCTCTCTATAAATTTGTCTATTTTGGACATTTTGCAAGAATGGAATGATAGATATAAATGGCATTTTGTGATTAGCTTCTTTCACTCTAACTTTTTAAGACTCATCCATGTAGCAACATGAATCAGTGTATCATTCTTTTCATTGTAAAATAATAATCTATTATATATAGACACACCATATTGTATTTA